GCTGTGATCTGATCAGGGTCGAGGAGAAGCTGCAGACAGGTGGAGGAGCACGGCTGTGATCTGATCAGGGTCCAGGAGAAGCTGCAGACAGGTGGAGGAGCACGGCTGTGATCTGATCAAAGTTCAATAGTTGATGATTTACTTCTGGTTTATTGGAACTGACGTCCGTCTGCTGTGAGAGGGAGGAAAGACTTCACCTGACAACAAACGGGCCTGTTCCCAGTTCTGCTACTGGATCCATTAGTTTTCCACTTGGCATGTAAAACACGTGGGTCGAGCAGAACCTGGTTTTAAGCAACACGACACAGTCCAACAAGGACCAGAACCAGGACCTTCAACTGGTCTGAGTTCAGTTTTCAGCAGTTTCCTGGTGAACAGGAGGAAAAACTCTGTTTCTGTGTCGGGCTCTTTACACTAGAAGACAACGGAACCTTTTTGGTTCTGGTTCAGCTGGGCCCGGCTGTCAGGGTCTGCCGTCACGTTGGTCCAACAGAATCCTGATCCAGTAGAGCTGAGGTTTCTTGTCCTCCTCAGGGCCCACCTGCAGTCCATCAGAGACTCCGTCAGTGACCAGGTTTCTGCTGTTCTACAGTTGTACGAGCAGAACTCGGACTCTGTGGACCTGACGGTCCTGACGGAGCGGTCCGCCTCCGTCCCGTCCATCGCCGACATGCTGGAGTGTCTCCAGGACGCTGAGCGGTTCTTCAGACGGCAGTATCCTTCCTGCTTCCCTGTGGGGGGGGGGACCTCTGTGTCACTTTGTGTGTTTTCCTGAGCTCAGGTCCAGGTTCCTGCAGAGGAGGATTCTGCTGCAGAGCCTGAGTCTGGACCACATCTCGCTGCTGGAGTCTGCTCCCAGGAAGTGGAGGTCTCTGGACTGTCCCGGGTCAGACCAACAGATCTCAGGTCAGACTCTGCTCCTCAGACCGTCCCCACGTGTCCTCCACTCCTTCTGATTCTCTCACATGTGTCTGACTCCAGATTCCCTCTGCACACTGTCCTTCTTCATGGAGCAACAGTAACCATGGTAACAGCCAAAACCGGTCC